ACTTGACCATGTTGATGTCAGCAAATACTTAGGCGTAACCACCAGCAACAACTTATCCTTGGATAGGCACATTGACAACATTGTAGGCAAAGGAAATAAAATATTTGGATTTATCCGACGAAACCTAAAAGATTGACTAAACCAATTAAAGCAGCGGCATATACAGACATGTTTAAACCCACAATGGAATATACCTCCACAGTATGGGATCCATCAAGCCAAAAAAAGATGAACTAAATCATGAAAACAAGTACAAAAAAGAGCAGTGAGATTTATCAAAAAAAAAACCACATAGACCGAACACCTGGTTGTGTAACAAACATGGTAAAAAACTACAGTGGGAAAGAACGAAGGAAACCCAACAGACTGTGTATGCACAGGCACTTGTCTCTGAAAAAAAATCCTATTTACCTTAATATAACACTATATTAAGGTAAATAGGAATTTTTTTTTCAAAGACAAGTGCCTGTGTGTGTATGATATTCAAGATGGACTAACAGATATAAACAGACAACAATATATAATCCCCAACGACAGCCGGGCCAGAGACCACTTTTATCAAGAAAGAACAAAAACTGACACATACGGACAGTCATTCTTATTAAAGACCATCAGGGATTGGAATCAACTTCCATCTAAATCACCTCGGCCGAAACCTAAAAGGAAGAATAATGTTTTAAATGTAGATTTGAGAAGACTAGCTGTGTTGCCCGTCACTGCGCAAAGTTTTCGAGGGACCATACACGTTCATGTATTAACTCGGTTCCTTACTTGGAAGAAAAAGAAGAAGACACCTGTCACACGTATATATATAGTTGGAACTCACTACCTCAATGTTGACAGGCTAGTGGTACAGTAGTTGAAATGAGGCTACTTAAATTGAAAAGAAAAAATGTCGATCATATACAATGTGTAGTACATCGTTCAAGCAATCGTTCGATTTTCTACCAGTGCTCTTAGTGAATGAGGACACAATTAGATGACATCACTAGGGTAACATCCTGTTATCTCATAATCCTATTGTTTGGATTTTAAACTAATAAAATTCTTATTCTTATTCTTAACAGTCATCATTGTTTAATCTTATCGCTTTGCCTTGTCAATGAAGGATGTTCGTCATTTTGAATTCTAATTTGTATAGAAAATGGAAATCTGACATAACTTTATGCAGCATATCTGGGACTATTATAACATCAATATATTATGTCCCAGAGCATATAATCAAAAGCGAATCATCTTCAAGTGTTGTTTGACTCAGTATTTCCTTTGATTTCTGGTGAAAGAAACATTTGTCAAAATCTTTATGTTTATTTTGATTTTCAAATATACACTCAAAATAGCAACAACTAGTATTGCTATATTGATTTCATGTAAATTTTCCTGATACGCCATGGACGATCATGAACATCAATTATGAAAAAATTGAAAACAAATCAGAATTTTTTGCTTTAAAAGAATTCACTTCATGTTAAATATAGAATTGAATTTGACTACAATTATATTTTGCTTTCTAAAAAACACAAATCTTTTGGTTATATCCCTAGCAACCTCCGCAAAGAAGTAATCAGTCAAAACTTAGAAGAATTTATATTCAATAGTGCTTAATTGTTTCTTACGCAAGGAAAAATAGCTCTAATCCATCTGGTCAAGTTTCATTGGGTCCACTTTAGCATTCAGTAAAGCAGTCATACGAATCATGGAAGTAATATTGAAAGGTAAATATTACTTCCATGTACGAATAAAGCTACAGATTTCTCAGCAAGAGACTTTTTCGTAGCTTATTTACATAAAAAATATTTAAGAAATAGTTTTACAATCATTGTCATTGATAGATTGATAAAAACTTTGAACTTTCAACTGCGATACTATTTCTCTTTTTATTATTTTAACTGTGTCTAAAAATGTTTGTGATTGAATTTTCATAGATTAAAACCAGGAGCTTCATGGATATATTGTAGTTATACAATAAGACGTCTACTTTATGTACTGTTTATGGTTGTTGTTTTTAAAACTACAGACTGTCCCGAAGAAAAATTTTGTTATTTAAAATTTTGATTTTCTTACCTCCACCACTACATTATTCGAAATTGAATTTAAATTAAGGAAAATCAAAGCGAAATAACTATCATTCTTATTGCAAATGAACGCATCGTCTTCTTCAAATCTGGCACTGTCCTGAATATACACGAAATATTTGCCACTGGCTGTGCCAATCATTGCATAAAAAGTATAAATTGGAAGGCTACTACTAGAAACTCAATATAACCCCTTAGGTTGAGAAAATGTTTGTTTGTTGGACATTGTTAAATCCTTTTGGCGATGTCTTCTAACAGAAACTAAAGGAGTCAACATCCCCTTTGCACTTAATTCATACAAATACATTCATTAAGCTTTTATTAGCATCTTCAATTAAATAATATTGTTACCTTGATCTTTATCAGATGCATATATATAATAAAATGCAATACATGTATGTTTAACAGATTGGAATTGATTAAGTACAGATTTATCTTTCTATTTTTATGCCCCATTTAGGGGCATTATGATTTGAGGTCTGTGCGTCCTTCCATTCGTTCGTTCGTCCGTACGTCCGTATGTCCCGCTTCAGGTTAAAGTTTCTGGTCAAGGTAGTTTTTGATGAAGTTGAAGTCCAATCAACTTGAAACTTAGTACACGTGTTCCCTATGATAAGATCTTTCTAATTTTAATGCCAAATTAGAGTTTTGACCCCAATTTCACGGTCCATTGAACATAGAAAATGATAGTGCGAGTTGGGCATCCGTGTACTATGGACTCATTCTTGTTCACCATGGTTTGATCTTAATTCCTAGAGCTTAATAAAGAATTTATGCTCTTTCAAAACCAAAATTGTGCTTTGTTGAATTAGCTGCAAGCTCTGTCCGGTTCTTAAACTCAAGTCTCATAATATTGTTGCACTTAAATAATGTATATTAAGTCCAATAAAGACCCAATGCAAGGTCAGATGGACATGTAATTCTTTTGAAACCAAATATAGTTTACCTATTAATCAAAGTAAACGAAAAACTGCCGTAAATGCAAAACTCAAGCTTGATCACTTAACCCTAAAAAAAAAGATGGAAATACTACCTTCAACCAAAACTTTAACCTGATATGGAACAGATAGAGCAACACACGGTTTAAAGCACAGAACGGTAAACATTATGCCAACTATCAAAGGTGAGACATAAAATTCACCTCAGTCATTCACCATAAAAATGAGACCAAGGTCAACAGCAATATCATAGACCATATTGATCATAAACCAGCTATATACAAAATACAACATTTCATGATCTTCTACCTTCTGATATATTAAGCTTTATACACTTAACAAGCATTCTGAGAGTATTGCATGGCAAGCCATAGTCCCCTACCGGGTAAAAATTACATTATACTGGAACAAAATGCTTACTTGTTCTATAACTTGCCATAGGGTAAACAAAAAGTAAATATCAAGTCATTATATTTAAGAATGACTAAAAACAGTGTGAATAGTGAATTTTTCAAGTCCAAGGACCATAACATGCAGAAAATTATCAGACCAAAACAAAAATTTGAACTTGATCTGGAACTTGTCATGATAAAACTATATACCAATTATCAATCAATATCTTCAAGCATGATGAAAAAAGTGTGGAAAACACTCTTAACATTGGATATGATTAATAGTTCTCTAAAATTAGATATGATGTAATACAATGTATATTTATTTTCAAATTATAATCAAATATAATTAATAGTTCCAAATATTTTTTCTTCCATTTGTCACAAACTAATATAGATTTGTAACTTATCTATAAAGTGTCAACAACTTTTATCTACACAATGTAATGTAATGAAATATATACCTTAATGAAAATAGATTATTATCTAATTAAAGGATTTCACTGAATAATATTTTTTATAAATATATAGCATTCAGAAAATAAGTTAATACAAAATAACAAACAAACAAACTGGCACAAATTTTTCAAACAATTTACTAAAGAATTTCTTTAAAAAAATGAGTTATCTCTCTTTGTATAGAAATATGGTTTAACATAGTACTCGAAAATTAGATATGGATTTTTTTTATGGACCATAACTCTGGACTAAATCATTAGAATGGAACAAAATTCGAACTAGATCTATAACTTGTCATGATAAAACCATAAAACAAATATTAAATCAATATCTTTAAGAACGAAGAAAAAAAGTGTGGAAAGCTGATTTGCCGGACTGACAGACGGACAGACAGACAGACAGACAGACAGACAGAGTGCAAACCTAAAGTCCCCTTCGACGAAGTCGGTAGGGGACTAATAAATGTAGTCACCAGCACTGCTAGATAAGAATACAAATGTCTGACGTTTGGCATCTTTTATCACTGGCAACAATAACCTATCAGATATAGGAAATGACCTAACCTCATGCCTTTTATGTACACACGATTTGGTATACATACAAATTTATGAAATAATAAAGCAAACACCACATTTGATAAAAAAAGAAAAAAGAGCAAAATCAAAGGACAAATGTTTGTTAACAAAATCCAGAAATACACTATGTCACAATTTGAACCTTTTCTCTGACTGATCTGAATGTTGTGCTGATTGACCTGACAGAGGGGGTCGTTTCATTCCTGTGAATTTTGTGTATTTTGAAAAGGGTACATTTCAACATTATCTTTTATATGATACTAGTTTCAACTTGTATTTACCATTGTTTTTGTTTTGTCTTTTTAAAGGGATATGGAAACAATAGCTACATATATATAAAATTACCATTTTCATTGGCTTGAAATGACATGTTCAAGATTTCTGGTGAAACCAAATTTGATGACTGTAACATGTATTGTTTTTTTTCTTTTTTCTAACCAAACCCAAATTAAATATATATGGTATGTCATCAAAGTCATGCAATAATTTCTGGAAATAATTCCTGCTTTCAAACCTTGTACCTCATGCAGTCCACTGCCAAAATAAAATAAATATAAAAACTTGTATTATGAATATTTATTATTTTATCATGCTTGGATGAAAATAAATCAATATACAACAGCATACAATACAATAAAATTTGTAGTGTACCTCACTAATAATAAACATAAATAATACTTCCAGCGAAAACACTGAACACAAAATAAAATAATCACTAATAAAACAGTGGACAAATTTGTGATCAGTGGTATTTCTTTTTTAACTCCCATTAGTGGACATTGTACTTGTACTTCCATCTGTTTTTACAATCCCACATGGAGCTAGGAAAGTTATGTCCCTTTGATATTTAAAAAATCCAAGTTATTTCCCTTTGAAAATTCCATAAATACAATTGATTTCATTTATTTAGGTCCAGTGTTATCTTCTTCCATACAGTGTTTATGAAGAATAATGAAATTATATGTATGGCACATACAAGGAAGATTGAATACAGATAAAATATGTAAGATATATTATATAGATGTTCTTATGTAAAATGTATATGTTACAGATTGAAGTCTTTGGGGAAAAAACATAGAGAAAAGAATGGTGAATTGGTGAACAAATACAATGTCAGAATTAAATATTCAATCCAATTAATTTCCCTCCATGTTCAGCAATGGCAAATGTCGTCTTGCCTAAAAAGATATTAAAGTATCTGGAAAAGCTTTTCCCCATGCTTATAAGCATTTGTTGAGTAATATGACATTCATCATTGCATTATATTGTTATAATGAAAGGCATCTAAAAGTCTTTTGGGAGATTCAATTTGAAATTGTTGTAGATCTCTTTTGCTTCAATAATGGTATTGCAATTATCTGCTGAATTTGTGAAACATGTCTGTTAATGAAAAATAAATCTTCTTAACATTGATTTTTTTAATGATGTTACATTTACCATTAGTTTGCTTCTCCAGAAAGTCTGAGGCTTTTATTAAACAAGAATAGAAATGCTCCTTGGATGAACTAATTATACAGACAGATAGAGATGAATGTATCAAAACATCTTCTATAATTATTCTAATAAATAGATAAAAGAATAAGAAAAATTACTAAAACATATGTATAATGACATTGGCAAGTTTTATTTTCATTTAAAATATGTATGTGTCAGATAAAACATTTCCTCCCTGCAATCAATATGATATTTTATACACAGAAAGATTTCTCCTCAAGAGTGTATACATTATATGTATAAAAATCTATGAACCTCATGTGAAAAAAAGCATTCTGTGGATTCATTTATTTTCGTGGGTAGCAATTTTCGTGGAATGCAGAAAACTTGTCTTTTCATGGATATTTGATTTCGTGGTTTTGCCAAAGTCTGCATACAACCTGATACAAAATTTGTCATTCGTTGAACATTTAAATTCGTGGTTTACCTTTACCAACGAAAACCACGAAAATTGGTATCCAACGAATAATAATGAATCCACAGTAGTTTAATTTGAATGTTGATTTTCTTCTTTAAAATATGAAACGACAAGCTACTTGAATTTGCATGGAAGGTGGTCAAATAAATGCAAAGTCTTATTTGTAAAATGAAACAAGTTGCTGTTGCAAAAGTAAGAAAAACTAAAATACATCTACAAAACAACTAGCAAAAGGCAAAATTTTATTTCTTTTCTTAGTCACATTATCATAGGCACTAAAATAACATCAAATTCATTCGTCCATCACATCAATTGAATGCAATATTTACAAATATATATCATCACAAATGACAAATAACAACAGAAACAATTAGTTTATTTTAAGAAGGCTTCATCTATGTCTTCTGTAATTACAACCTATCAAGTAAAATGTCATAAAATTCAGGAACTGTTATTTATGAATTTTCCAAGTACATACACACTTCTATTTAGTTCAATATGAAGTGCTCATAAAAGTACTGTAAACCAACTTATTTTTGCGGATACTTTATTTCGCGTGTAACCTTTTCTAGTCCACTTCGCAGAGATTTGATTTTGCAATTTTCTAATTTACTTGATGTAGTTAAATAAGGAAAGATCCAATTTTTACATGTTCGGGACGATTTATATTCATGCTTTTTTATACTCCAGAAAGTCACGAAAATAAATCGCTCACGAAAATTAGTTGATTTACAGTAAGTCCCAATTTTGTGATTTGCATAAAACATGGACAGAAATCTTTTTTCTTTTCCTATATTGAATATCATATGATCCCTGATAAAAAAATAGTCTTGAGTATTGTTATTGTATTGGATATAGGAAACTTGTCATGTTCTTTTTATTGTGAAGACATTCTATACATACAAATCCTGTACAACAATAGACCTGTCTAGAGAAACCACTTTTCTCAATCTTGGAAAACCATACAATGGAAAAATCTTTTATAACACATATATTGGAAACATATACACTCAGTATGAAAAATGAATTGTAATGACACTATGAATAGGCCTCAGTAGAAAAATGTGGTTTCTCTTGACAGTGTCCTCTTTAGACAGGTAAAGTTTTTGTACCACAAGACGCTAGATGATACCTATAGTGGTGTAATAGTACAAAACATAAAATCATAACAGCACTAATCTGAATACATAAATGTTTTACTAATAAATAATATGAAGATGGAAAAAAGCAACAAATATATCTCTCTTATTTATATTTTTTTTAAAGAAAATAACCATAGATATAAAAGGTTCGAAAAATCATTAATTTGGAAAAATAAAGGATTTCATTTTTAAATACATGTTTATACATGTGAATAAAGAGATATATTAATTTAATACCAGTATACACAGTTGATGGGGGGAAATTATCAGGTGGATATGAAGTATCACATCTTTGGACTTTGTTTGAGTTTATGAGATGACATAATTTTGTGGCTAAAAATTCTCATGTGAGCAATCCTTAATGTGAGACTAAAAACATACATTTAGGGCAGTGTTTTTGGTTAAAAACATGACATAGAAGACTGAATGAAACATTTTACCCTATGATGCGAATTTTGCTGGATTTTTGACCTGGAATAATTGGTCCACTTAAGTTGGACCCAACATCTAAAAGCTATCATTTAGCCAACACATTTTCAAACAATTTGGCCATATCACATATACTTTTTGAATGGCCTATTTAACAGGTTTTGACATGTACAGACATTTAGAACATATACATTTTGTTTCATAGCTGTGATATTATCAAACACCCAGAACATTTATGAAACAGTATATATACCATTTAAACATGTTAAGAGAGGAGAGAGAGCATGAGAAAAAAATCCCAATGGAAATACATGTATAAACTGAATCTTAAAGCAATATTTAACACAAAAACTACATAAAAATCCTGAACACTGTTACACAGAAAACTAGGCACTAAGATCCTAATTTGAATATATAAAAGATTAGATAAATTGACAATTTTGTAAAGTAAATTTATGAACTGACAGACAATTTTGTTTATCTTCTGAATGCCTTCAATTCATTTAAAGTTCAATCACAACATTTTGCATAAAAATATAACAAATCTTGTACATTGTTTTGCATTGCTTTCTTTGGTCAGAATCACCATTTTTAAGACAACCTTGTGTTAACATTCCCGTTACTGTCACTTCATACAATTTACCAATTAACAGTTCAGAAAGTCATCCATCAATCATTTACTTCACATCCATGCATCTATAAAGTGTACAGATAACAGGTGAAATGTGACGAGCCCAAGACAGTGTCCGTCTCCGACTCAGTGAGATCCTTGGAGAACGTCGCAGTTTTCTACATGTATACATGTATATTTATATATGTTTTTGGAAATATTGCAGTATGTTAGCACGTAAGTCCTCATCAAATTTATTTAAACTATTGATCTATAAAAGCCTTTTACATTACGGTGGCACATATGGAGCAGGCTTGTTATTGTAAGCAGTTTGCATGTGAGGTCTAGGTTGTTTGTTTCCACCAGAACTATGTATCGGAGGTGGAGGTTGAATCATGGGAGAACTCATATCAGTCATATCATGTTCTTCATATTCCTCATTTTTATGATCTGACGACCGGGAGCTTTCACTGGATGCACGAGTATACTCAGGAGGTGGCATTGGTGGTTTTTCATCATCCATTATCAAAGGTTTGTTTGCATCATTAGGTTTCTCATCATATTCATCAGGGAATATAATGGGTGCTCCTTTGTTTACAAATGTATTTTTATCTTCCAATGACATCTTTCCTTTCCTTCTCTTACGGTACAAACAACATGCAATAAACAAAGCAATAAGTAGGATGATGATTATGACAACGGCAGGAACAACAGTGGTTATCAACATATCATCATCACTTTCCTGTTCCTCTTTCTTTGGAGTTAATGTTGTTGGTTTAGGCGTAGGCTTTGGAGTTTTATAATCTGGAATGGGATCAATTGGTAATACAACTTCACCATGGACAGGAAAATCTGGATTATTCATACATTTTCCTTTAGGCTGTGAAGTAGCCTTGTTTACAGAAAAGTCCTTTAACATACGCTTGGCCCTATCTGTTAATTGACCATCTTCCTTAACAAGTTTGCCAACCACCTTTTTAATGCCATCTATTGGACAATAGTCTGTAGGAAGGGTGTTATTTGTCCAGCCAAATTTCACTGATCCTCGTTCAAATTTCAGTATACTAATGTTATCAGTGCTATCATCACGGTATATTCTCTTAATTTGATTAACCAGAATCATCCTTTTGGCAACAGTAAATTCATCAAAATCTTCATCTAAGACTAATCCCAACTCGTGTGAAGGACTTTCAAGAGCTTTAACATTTGATTTTTTAACTGTCACCATGAAATTGTCAAATGCAGGAGGGAAGAGTCCTTTTCTGTTTTGTGCTGTAATTCTATAACTTTTCATTCCTATGTCATTTGCAAGCGGTGCTCCAGTGATATAATACTTGTTATTTTTTCTTTGTAAACCAATCCATGAATTTGGATCTAGGACTTGCATGCCATCGATGAATAAATCCAAACGTAATTGACCTGTTGACCCTTCCATACAATCATAAAACAAATCATCAGGAACTACAATCACACTAGATTCTCCTGCGGTAAATACAATATCGTTCATTTTGCCTTTTCTAACAGGAGCTGCCGGACTACCATCATCACATTTCGGTGTGTTATCAATCATGGTAGACTCTGTATCAGTTTTAGGTGGTGTAGGTTCCGGTTTAGAATCAGTAGGTGGTGCTGCTGTCATGACATGTGTTTTAGTTGGTAAGATTTCTGTTTTTGTTGGGACTGGTTGAGGTGTACCTTTTGGTGTTGTTGGTGGCATGATTGGAGTAGCTTTGGTGACAACTTTCGTCATCATTTCTGTTGGCTCTGGAGTTGCTGGTGGTACTACAACAGACTTTGTCGGATGGATATCCATTGATGGGGAGACCATTATAGGGATACTTCTGGTCATTGGTTCCTCTGTATCTGTTGGTTTGATTGGGTCAGTAACTGTTACAACTTCTGAAACAGTTGGTGGACCCCTTGTCACAGCTGGAGTAGCTGTTGCTCTAATTGCTCTTCTTCTCCTATGTGGAGCTTCCTGAAAAAGTGTATTGGTTACTTGCCAACCACTTATCTGATAACCAACTGCATGTGCCAAGCTACCATTAAGAGCTGTCTTTTCAACATGATGTAGAACTGGCATGTGATCCTTCTCTACTTGTCCACAACCAACCAGCCATGACACTTGCACACCGGTATGTTTAGGTTCTTTGATATTACCAGATCCAGCCACTAAAGTAGAGCTATCAATCATTGGTTTATCTCCCTTTGGAAGCAGTTTCATCATATCATTCGCTAGGCCGAGGTAGGATGCGGCAGAATTGACCAAGTCTAATCTATTTAAAGCTGGTAAAGATTCTAGATCGGCATCAACAACAATAGTTACAGCTGTTTCTGGAACTTCTCGTCTACATCTGACAACCTGTGGTTTCCCGTTCTGTGAGTTTGATGGTGTATATTTAAGGACTGGGGATTCTCCCGTTACAGTAACTGAGAAAACATCCTTGGCTACAGAATTTTTAAATCCTTTGACTACAACTTCGAGGTAATGTTGTCCAAGGTCGCCTGGACTTGGAATGCCTTTCAATTGGTGATTTTTACTATCAAAATGTAACCATACTGGTAATCCATCTTTGCCAACTTCCATAATCTGTAAAATATAAAAGAAAATTAAGTATACAATTATTTTAGTAATAAGAGGCTTGACAAAAAAAAAAAAAAAAAAAAATAAGTCAAGTACAACTAGATTCTCACTCCTGATACTAACATTAGTGATAACATTTTTGGAATTCTTTTTAGAACTTTTAAAAGTACATACGAACATGCACTTTTGGTGACCGTGAAAACAAGTTTCTCTAGTACCTGCTGACTGATGGCTTTTTATAAATAATTAAGTTATCAGCCTTGTATAACTTGTGACTTGCTTATAGTTATTTACATGTGTAAGGGTTGGTGGTAAACAAGTACTTCTAGAATGTCGGCAACACAGTTTTTTTTTAATCCACTAATGCAGCTTTGTAGTTAATATGCTGTAATTTATACCGAACTATAAGAACCTACAAATGTATGTTTACAGACAGAATGTATATTTTTTTTTGTTAAAAGAAATGTTTTGTCATCAACTAAAAGTGATAGAACTACATATACCAAATTTGTTTCCATTACATTCATATACTAAGACTTTTTTATATATATATATAATATTCTGAAAGCAATGTTCTGCCCAGTCATGTCATTATTTTCAAATACATTGTAGCACCATGGGATTTGAAATAACAGTTTCCACTAAAATTATAGCACATTTACAAAACACTTCTAAGTTCTTTTAAAATATCTATTCAGAAAACACCCTGGTAAAAAATATAGGACCATGGCACCATGATTTGTTTTTACCAGTTCATGTCCGCTTTCCTACAGTAATGTCAGACTCATTTTTAAAAGGAATTGACTGGATTAGTGAAAAAAAAAAAATTTTGGGGCAATCTAAACTTAACTTTTTGCACTTGAATGAAAAATGCCTGTAGAGATGAGAATGCAATAATGACTTATTCTCCAGACAGGGATGAAAGAAATCCTATGCTATATTTATAATTGCTAATTTGAAAAGTGTGATGCAATGATAGAAATTCGGTGAAATGCTGTTTCTCAGCAGCATGTGGAGCACAAATCACTTCATCATGTCAAGTTCAGTCAGAGCACATGTTATTCCTTCATAGGCTAGACATGATAACATCACCTTAATAGGTCTAACCAAGAAACAGATATCTTATCAACATTAGTTCTATAATAACTGGTATCATATTATTTTGATGATTCTATATTGAATGACAATGAGTCTGACAACTTCAACAAAAGATCTGTATTAGACATTTATAAAGATTTTTTTTTACAGTTTTCTTTAATCCTAATCATGGGTGGATCCATGGTTTGAGGAAAGGGGCCTTATAGTGCAAAAGGGTCATGAATTGGCGAGTATAGAGAGGCAGAATTTTTTTTAACGATTGTATGCCATAAAATTTAAAAAAATTTCAGGTTATTAAAAATACCCTTATAAATTTCTTGCTTTTGTAATAGAAATTCATGCTTGGGCTGATATAGAAAATTGATGACCCCCTAAATTAAGCCATAATCATCGGAACATAATGTTTAAGATTTGATTAATTGACCAGTAAATTAGTGAAATTTTCAAATGAGATAACAAAATTCTGAGTTATAAAACTATATAAAATGAATAAATATTTAACTTTATGATACTGACTGATATAGGATCTGTGCGGTTAATTTACCTTACCTCTAATAAAAAGATTTACTGATTTAAAAGGCAATATTATCACTCTGGATGGTCTATCATAGTTATCTCTCTTGGTTCATATAAAAAAAAAAATTTTCATATCCTCCACTATTTTATTTAAGAATAGATTGCTTCTTTATGTAACTTTATTGGGGTGTTAAATCATTGACTGAATAGATATAAGAAGATGTGGTATGAGTGCCAATGAGACAACTCTCCATCCAAGTCAAAATTTATAAAGCACATATTCACAAAAAAAAAATATGTGCGAGTTTAATGCCTTTACAACCCTATAAAATTACAAGAAGCATTTAATTCTTACAATGTATGATTACATTTATTTATGCAACCATGAAATTACAACTCTAATCAAGCCTTTTGTTTGTTTTTCTACGCATTGTTTTAATATTGTCACAGACAGCTCTTGCAGTCATAGGTGTTGCATTCAAAAGGAAATAACATATAACTTTAGGAATGCTTCAGTCAATCAAATTTACAGAATGGTATGAAACTTCTACGTGATATCATTATGCAATTAAAAGTCCTACAACGTATTTTAGTACATGTACACCTTAATAAGAAACTAGATAGGAGAATGCGATAGACTGAGAAAAGTGACATCTGCAGAGTCCCACTAAGTATTACATCTTAGAGAAGATCAGATTTATATTTATTTGATGTAGGCTATAATTTAATGGTTAAATCTAGTTCAATTTTTTCAGCCTTCCTGATATCACATTTACAGGGATACTGAAAATGTTTTCAACTAATTATGGCAAAAAAGTAAATAGCAGCTTTATATTCAGTATCATTATTTGAATTGTTGATTGTATCCTCATTTTGAAGGCCTAATTAGATAACATTGTCTTAGATTAAGCTGTGATAGATAGACGAAAAGTTAGTCAATTAAGAAGAACAAATTTAAAGAATTTATAGCAAGATTTTACCCTCCAGTGCATGTTTTCTCATTTCCTAAATAACAATTTGACAGAAATATTTGACCCTGTAATTATAACTCATGACTGGTAATTATAATCCTTATTGTAGAAATTATTGAGCAAAAACAGAAACTGACAAGTTATTTTTTACCCAACTGCACCTGGTAAACCAAAAACGATAATAGCAAACTTCTATAAGTTCTATAAAATAACCATCAATGTCAAGTAATGCTTGGGAATTGACAGCTTTAAGATAAAGCAAATTCCTGAAAGTTTAGTTGTAGACATGAAAATTCGGTTAATAGGTCCCTGGAGGAGCTCCTATGTATTGGAGTATTTTTTACAGATGACAAAAACATTAAAATTCTGTCTGGAAGATAATCTAAAAGCCAACACATGAGGGACAAACTGTCGTATTGGTTAACCAGATTATTTTTATCACTAACATATACAATTGACATTTAAGAACTGTACCAAAATAAAAATTGAACAGACATTCTTTTTTTAATGACTGTGATCAATATTGGCAACTGCATTTGACTGAAAATGTCTGATATAGATATAAGAAGATGTGGTATGAGTGCCAATGAGACAACTCTCCATCCAAGTCAAAATTTATAAAAGTAAACCATTATAGGTCAAAGTACGGTCTTCAACACAGAGCCTTGGCTCACAACGAACAGCAAGCTATAAAGGGCCGCAAAAATTACTACACATGTATTGTAAAACCATTCAAACGGGAAGTCTAATCTACCGGTATATAAAAAACAAGAAACGAGAAACACTTATGAACCACATCAACAAACAACAACTACTGAACATCAGATTCCTGACTTACATGTAGGACAGGTGCAAACAATTGCAGCGGGTTTAAATGGTTTAATGGTACCAAACCTTCACAGTGCACTTGATAGTTTAAATTAGTTTCTAGTCACAACTAAAAAGACAAATTTTAAGAAAAAATTCCTCATATTACTGTTCTGCTTATGTCATTTTTTGGGGGTTCTCACAAGGATTTATGTGTATCAACTTTCTAGTGACATTTGGACATGTTTGAGTCTAGGGCTTATGCACTGAAAGTGATTTGCAATGTACTGATATATACATGCAAAACCACAGCACTTGGTAAGACATGCACCATTGGTGAAGCTCATATACATGTAAATAGTTAGAAATCAACAATGTTAAATATGTGACTAGTCCTTTCTGCTTTATTTCTTAAATTCCCTGACACTTGCAATAAACAACCCTAATCATCCCAATATCTGCATACTGTTACCAATGACCCATACAATTATTTGTCAGAGCAAAGGGGAGGTAATAAATTTAGGAAATCTATTATATCTGCCAGAAATACAATATGATAACCAGATGTTGGGAGAAGACTATTACATTGCTCAATAACTTGATAATAACTGCTCACCTTTTCTCTTTGATGGTTTTTATTCTACCATATTATTTTATTTTTCTTTACACATATTTTTATTACTTTATTATGATAATTGTAGTATTATCATGAAAAGGCGTTATAATTCATGAAACATGTTACCATGTGTGCATTTTACCATGTGTGGGTTTGAAGGACAACAAATTGCGTTTTATAGACAGAATGTTACTTTTTTTTTTAACCTCATCAAAATGATAAACGCTACTCTGAAGAATTTGAAATAAAAATATGAATTGAGTTGATAGAGAAATATATATTTATTATCTATTTTATGAGATAGTGAAGCCTTTGTTGTTGAATATCCAATTTTGTTTGCTATTAAGTAATTTTATATGTGTGTAATTAGCTAAAATGGTCCTTAGAGAAAAGGTTGAACTCAGAGCAAAACTCTCTATTATTGATTGAATAGAAATGGGATTAAAATCAATCATCTTCTACAAAATAATCATAGCATTGATTGTTAGTGCCATTTATTTATTTATTGACCATCAAGTGTTTCATCTATTAAAACTTTCATTTTTTTTCTATGCTGAATGAACTCATTGACCCAGAAGTCAAGCTAAATGGCTTGAGAATTCCTTATATGATGATCAAAGGTACAAAAAGGAAGTGTGGTTAATTAGAGGTAACAAGTCTCTACACTGTGGGATGATAAATTACTTGTCATGCAACATCACAATTAACTCCTATCTTCATTTCTTAACAATTGCAACCCAGCATGACAAGAATTGACTTCCCTTTTATATCACCTCAGATTGATCCCCTGCATAACTGGGGTGAAGGGCTGATTAGCCAGTCATTGTCACTCTTCAGAGACCTGACCTTGGCTTTAATTAACAGGAAGTTTTGTAATGTTGTAAATTATGTGTGATATTTTCACTTGAGGCCAGCATGGAAACAAATTTATTGGTCATTCATCAAGCTTACAGATCTGATAGTGTCCAATTTGGCCCAAGGCTAGCACTCAACACCTTTTTCAATTCATAATATGATGAAATTTTGTGTAACTATCAAGAATTCAATTTTTCCAGCTGACATCATACAATGAAAGACATTTCTCACATCTTTCATCCAACATTTTCACATTAAATGTCAATGACTTTCCAAATATCAAATAAAATATGTAACTTTTAAAATTTAAATTAAGACTGATAAATTTGGCTAGAAATATACAATCTGTAAATATCGAAAACAGAGATGAGAAGTTTTTAAATAGGAAATAAAAAAAAAAGAAAATTAAGAAAATCCTCCTAATGTAAAGTAATCTCCCTTCAGCCTCAACAAATGGAGCTTAGGTCAAGGTTCTTCCTCTCATTAAGACTTTGAAATTACTATTTCGTCCCTATTCAAAGTGCATTAACTATTTCTCTTGGATGCCAAACATCAAAATTTAAAACAAGATTTACTATTTTTACACCTCATAATGATTATATTTGAATGCAAAGTTTTAATGTATTAACAAGTACATGTATATGCCTTTTAAAAATATAAAATTATAGTCATATACTCCATAGCTGGACTTGAACCAATAAACTTCACCCTAATCGGGAGTTAGAGAAAGCAAACATTTAGCCTGTTTGTATTAGATACACCTTGAGGGCGTTGAGCCTGAATGGGTGTATCTAATTTACACCAAGATATTATTGTCAATGCACTGCAGAATGATAGTTTTCAATAATTTAGAAGGGGGTCTTTCAGCAATTTGACCAAGTCAAGCACTTCAGCAGTAATTTTCCTTCCTTTAAATTATTTCACAACTAGTTGTATGAAAATAACAGTATATTTTGTAGCTCCTAACACTATGATTTCACTTCTGTGTCTTAGGTGGATAGATGTTTCTAGAGTGATCAATTGCATTTCATTTTTTCAATTTAAAACATATCTTTTATCTAACAGTGATTGCTTGTTTTGGTTTGTTGTTTTTTTTTGGGGGGTTGTCCATTATCTTTTTTTAATTTTTTCACAAGCAGCTGTGTCATTAGCAATTAAATCAGATCTCAGCTTATCTTTTATTCTAATGCTTTTGTTTCTGTGTTATGGTTTTCTAAAAATAATTGACTTTTTGTTTAGAGTACTTTGAATAATTTTCTTCAAATTTCATGCTCAATAAATCTAAACTAACCTTATAACTGATTATATCTCCTTTAAAGGCATCACTAGGTATGACATAATTAAACATTTTCCCAACTACAGCTGATGTATCCGCTATTCCCCAATGTAAAGCTACTGGTTCCGTCTTTCCTGGTTTTTTAAAATCCAAAGAATTCACTAAATTTTCTACATCTAACTTAAAATCCTGTGCTACACATTGTGAAATGAGTAAAAATCCTAGGGATAAGAATGTTAAAGAATTCATCTTTATAGAATATGTACGCTTCCTCTTGACAAAATTCTGTGATTTAGTACAATCCAAATTAGAACTGCAGTTGTGGCATCTATCCCAATCCTTCATAACTCACTATTCAGTGTTGCTGCATAAAACGTCTCCAGAGGAATGTTCGCTTTCCAAACAAATAATTATCCACAGTCACAATACTGATAGACTGAGTCTCAGATCACCTGCAATAGAAAATGATAACTACATTATAACACAATCTATATCATCATTATGATGGCCTAGACGAAAAATAATATGATTTCCCCGTTTTTACAACCTACTTCTTCAGTCACTATATAATTAGTGAGAAGGCTGTAATGGAATAATATACATGCTAATATGTCTAATGTAAATTAATCAAATAATTTTCTGTCCAAGGAATAAAACATGCTATACCTTGGAATGGAAGTACACAATTTACATATCGTAGTAATTCATCTCTCGTTAAATAAATCAATTTTTGAATTCACATGACATGTGTAATTTCCAATCCCACAGTGCTGAGGTATTTTATTTACTTGTTGGCGAAATGTCCCAAGACAAAGGGAGTTAAATCAGATCACACTATCCAAAATACTAGTAATCTAATCTTAATCTTATAATCCCATTACTCATTGTTTGGATTACTCAACTTTCCTAAATCTCTCAATGACATTGGAGCCAGTGTAAAAGTCTATTTTTTATCAATAGGAAAAAAAGATATATCTGATAAAAGTAATTAAAAGCAATTGTAATAGATCTTCACACCCCTGGCTAATCAGTTCGGGTCAGGACACATCAATGCTAAAGGTCTTGTTTTCTAATCATCACTTTGTTGAGAATCATTTCCACAGCCACCTACACTGATGCTTATGGCAGTTCTACATTCCAGTGACCATGAGATTTCATTTGATGTCCACTCATGTCCATTAGGGTCATTTTACATTTCTGGTGAATGGAAAATGTAACTACTTTCCCATAGAAATTCCTCATTCATCATTTTTGACACTGACTTTTAGACATGCTTAAAATGTAATATCAATTCAAGACAAAGGATGAAACTGATAATATAAATTGAAATGCAGCAAGAATATAATTCTTCAATCTCCTTGTTTAAACAAAAACCCTACTATTCTATACTATAACAGTACCTGACATTTCATCACAATGGTTACAAATATGATGAGAGTGATTTACGATCTATTTTCTGTCATTAAGAGAGGTGTGATCCATTTTAGTGTAAATGTCATTGTAATTTTCATCACATGGATGACAATTTGTCGAAAACAATTTTCAATTGTATGTTTCTTGATTATTTATTATTAATCATAATGAACCTGTTACTTAACACCGATTTTCTACACATTGTATTGTCCTGGCTAAATATTTGCAAAGGTCTTTTGTTATATATACTATTACTTCATTAAATGTTAGTTTTGTCCATTTGATACAGTATTTTGAAATTGAACAACATAACTGATCAAGCTAATCCTCTTCAAATATTTGTGGTCAGGATGATTTTCTTAGTAAAACAGGGTGTCACAGAACTACTACAAAAATGGTAATGTATAATTTGTTACCATGGCAATCAATATCTTGAGAAAAATAACAAATTACATGAATTCTGCATCATCAGGAATCTGCAGACATTCAACAGAAAGAAAACGTGCAGTTGTAAAGATCTGATTAATTTTAGACAGTTTTATTATATCACTGAACTAACATTTTTATAGCTTTATTCAAAACTAAAAAAAATGTAGTAAAACAAGATCAAGATAACCTGAATTCATATCCAATGTCAAAAGAGAAAACTAATAGACAGTAAAAAATAGGATTTTATCACTTTCGTTGAATGCTATGTATCATATAGTTGCACACTGTTAAACTAAGCAGTGAGGGTGTGGTTGCAATATTTTTCTTCTTCAAGAATTCATTTTATATGAAAATTATTATTTTCTTACGTCAGTGGGGGATATATCATCTTAGAATCTACTGTAACCGAGTATGTTCAATTTTTCTAGGCCAAATTTTTGACAATATCTTTTATAAATTTGTTTTGAGCATGATAAAATTTCACTCTGATTGAATTTGTAGAATATGTTTTGCCTAATAAATAATACACCAAATAAATAGTTCACCAGAATAGTTAAATCAGTGCAAAAGTATAAATGAAAATTCTAATCTGCCAAATATTCAAGACATTATTTTTTATTGCCAGTTTAACACAGCTGCTACCCTGTAAATTCATTGGTTAAAATACTAGATGCAGATGTGCACATGTTGCCCAATTTCAATCATATTTTAACATAAAAAGACCAATTGTTCTGATTTTCCAGTCAATTTCTGAAGGAATATACAATGATTTTTAATAGCTTGAAAATAAATGTTAAATTGATTTTCAATTTTCCTATATTTTTAATTATCATTAACAGTCGATTTTTAGTGAGAATATTTTTTTATAATTATTGATTTGCATAATATCAAGGATTAGTATAGTAAACTATACAAATCCTTGATAATATGTTTAATTTTTTGTACTTTAAAATTATAAAGTCCTTGAGTCATGATAAACAACATATAAACAAAATAACAACCAATTATTTTAACAAAATAAATGGTGTATTGCTCATACATAATTTTTTCCATTATTTATTCCAATTTATGAGTTTCAAACCTCAAATCTAAATATATACCTGTCACCACCTATCCTGTTGGTTTTGTTGAAAGCAATATAAAAGTGCACGTGACCTCTGTATAAAATGGTGCACTTCCTACATTTCCTACCTTATCAAATTTTTTATTACAATATCTTCTTGTGGTTTGGTATAGGTGTATGCAGATCACTACTATGTAGGCTATACATATACAATTAATAGTTGACAACTACTCTATATTCACCAATCATTTCACTCAGGAAAGTAAAACTAGAACAGCTAATGCTAATTATGCTAATTATTACTTGACAGTGGTGTAATTATCACAGGTTGTCATGACTGATTGGTTTTCTCACCTGAGTTCACATGACTAAGTTCAAATTATTTAATTAGATTAAAATATGACATAATTCATGATGACTACATAATAACAATATTGACAATGTTAGTGTCACCACTGCCCAGACAAATTCAACATTGAACTGCTGAAATATAACCCCAAGGTAATTGAAAATTACAGAACTAAAGGTTTATCTTTTATGTTTGGTTAAATATTCTGTAAAATAATATTTATTGTTTTAAAGTATTTCAATAAACATTTTGCAATATGGATAACTTGTCAAGTTGGAATTGTGTATTTAGATCTTATACTTTCTGATGCTTGGTTCACTTTTGAGGGCAAAATGTGAAAAGGTGCTTGCCTAATAAAATAAATCTTTAAAACTACCAAGGTTTTTTTATTCAAAAAATATTGCCCCCTTTGGTGACTCAAGTTCTAACACTGAAATTCTGTACCAACATGTGCAGATATAACAACCACAATTTTAGTCTCATAGTACAAGAAATACATGTTCCATTGAATCAATTCTAAAAATAGAATCCAGATGTATGTTTTAGTATATAAATTTATCAATAACTAACATATCCCATCTAATTTGTCAAAACATTTGTTTTATATGTTATGGCAGAGACATATATACACATGTGTATATATGTCTCTGGTTATGGCTATCAGATCAGCTAGTCTGTCTATAACAGGTGGTTAACAGAGTTATCTACCCCTCATTAACAGGTGCTTGGTCAGTGCAAAAGAATGAACACATTTGGTCCCTCATCTATTGGAGGTCACCTGAGTTACAGAGTCCTTCCTCTAGCCTTTATTGGACCAATATATTCAATTTACTCAGAAAGTAATAAATAACCATTTTCTTGTTGTTACCAGACACATATTCCTTATTATTAAATATGTATTTGAAGGTAATCTGCATAGTGAAGTTTTTTTACAAGTAGAGATTTTTAAGCACCAACTCTATAATGGTGCCGTCTGCAGATAAGTTGCAAAATACTTCCCTGGTGCATTTGGGTCAACATCAACATTAGTTTAATTACAAAAGAATGTGCACATCATTCATGGGGCCCTATTTTGGTAAATAAAATTCAAAACATACAAGTTTGAAACAGAACTATAGAAAGAGTCTTTCTAATCATCAAATCACACTAATGAGGGTCTGGATGGGGTGTCCTTCATTTCTGTATTCTTTAAATATCTAGGTATTTATGTCTAATCTTATGTACTTGTATGTAATGTGATGAAAGCTCTTTATAGGGCCCTTTAATTGGAAATAAAATATTCTTATTCTTATTCTAGGTAAGTTTTCTCTATTCTTTATTTCCAATTATTTCCAATTATGGGCCCCAAAGGACATAAACATTACAACATCAATAATTTTTCATAATACAATACAAACAATGAGTATTTTTTGCTCATTTTTCTCTATTCCGTATTTTTTTACCATATTTTTCTCTATTCTGTATTTTTCACCATATTTTTCTCTATTCTTTATTTTTTTGGTTGATTTTTTCTGAACCTTTGCCCCATTTTCTATATTCTGTTAACCCCATCCAGACCCTCACTAATGGTTAAATAGCTTATACTGATTAAAATGATCATACTTCGATGTTGAAAAAGATACAAGTAGAAAATTCCTTCCTTTAGTTTTTTTTTAAAAAGTATTCAAAAGCTTCAACCCCTGTAATTTTCCCTTCAAAAAAATATTTTCTAATCTCAGCTGTCTGCATGACTGACAGATAGGGGTGAAGCAGCAGACCATACATCAACACTATATGGTCAACAATGATATCATATTTCAACACTTTACTCTCACCTCCCAAGGATTTATGATAACAGCAGAACAATAAACTATTGTCCATCATTGTTTGGGCTTTGCCTTTCATCTCTTAGTTTTATCTCCAAAATCTCATCACACATTTGAGACAAAAATAATATCCTGTAAACTTACCATTATTCACCTTTGACTTTTTGGTATCTATGAAACCATTTTACTGTTATATCATTTTTTGTGATAAATGACAGATATTCAACCTTAGTCTAACTGGCAGACATTCTCAAGCCTCACCCTTAATCTGTGAGACCTAAGTCACCTTTGCCTAAACAGCAACTTATCCTGTAGAATTGAGGTTATTATCTTATGACTGATGTGTTGTGCCTCCACGCCTTTTCTCTTGTTTTTATATTGAAACACCACCTT